ACTCACTAGCACTTACGCTACAGCTCCCACCCTTACTCTCATGCTTTCTCTTTCTCTTTCACTCTTACTTCCATTATCACTTTCTAACGCGCATACACGCACATATGATCTCTCTCTCTCTCTCTCTCTCTCTCTTTCTTTCTTTCTTTCTTTATCTCTCTCTCTCTTTCTCTCTCTCTCTCTCTCTCTCTCTCCCCTTCTCTCTCTCTCTCTCTCTCTCTCTCTTTTCTTTTCTTTCTCTTCCTCTCTCTCTCTCTCTCTCTCCTCTCTCTCTCTCTCTCTCTCTCTCTCTTCTCTCTCTCTCTCTCTCTCTCTCTCTCTCTCTCTCTCTCTCTCTCTCCTCTCTCTCTCTCTCTCTCTCTCTCTCTCTCTCTCTCTCTCTCTCTCTCTCTCTCTCTCTCTCTCTCTCTCTCTCTCTCTCTCTCTCTCTCTCTCTCTCTCTCTCTCTCTCTCTCTCTCTCTCTCTCTCTCTCTCTCTCTCCTCTCTCCTCTCTCCCTCTCTCCCTCTCCCTCTCCCTCTCCCTCTCCTCTCCTCTCCCTCTCCCTCTCCCTCTCCCTCTCCCCTCTCTCTCTCCCTCTCCCTCTCCCTCTCCCTCTCTTAGTCTCCTTTAATTTTCCCTGTTAACCGACAAACAGCAGATCTAAACTTAATCCACAACAACATCGAATCAATAAAGGATGGGCCAGCGACGGCCTCCTTTTAATGTTTTTTTTTCCTCGACCAGATCTATCACACCGATACACCTCACCCTCCCTCCCTCCACCTCGACCACTCGGACCTGAGGGAAAAACCCTCAACAAGTTCCGATTTCTACAAAAAACCTTTTCCTCCGGAAAAACCTTGTTTTTACTCTCTTCTCTCGCCGCCGTGATTTTTATTCTCATCTCACGGTCGCGGTTTGGGTCTCTGTGGTGCTTTGGAAATATTATTCGTCTTCCCTCTTCTCATTTTATTACTTCATTTGATCTTATACTATATCAAATATTTTCAAATCTATTTTTTTAAAATGTTAAAAAATTATTTGGGAATGTTACTTATAGTAGATTAGAATTGGGAATATGGAGGGCCTTCTCTAGTGTCGGAGCTTGCTGCTTTGTATTTATATGGGTTGTCTGTTTATACGGCAGATTTATATTAAGGGGACTATTAGGAAGTATATTACCACCGTCTGCGTTGCAAGTCTGCGTGGAGCTATTGGGTCTAGCGTCATTACGATATCCCAACTTGTAGTGGTTATATGCGGATAGCAGGATGTATCTCTCGGGAAGTTACTCTTCGCATCTCATGTCTCATCTACTTCTTTATTGTTTATTTGTTTATCTACGGTCGCAAGGTGGATGGAGTTTCCGAGTATGTGCTGAGAAGCTCATTTTCGTAATGTGTGATGTCAATTGAATTAAGTAAACGGCCGAGGCATATCCGTTATCAATTGCCACACTACGTCTTTTCTGTCCAACCACTAGGGGGGCCCTCTCATAAAAAAAACCACCATGATGAAGCGTCCAGCGCCATTTTCTGATTTCACTACCAACAGCTCAATGGGTCATCCATTTTTTTCATCATTTTTCACGTTGTTTTTATTTTTTAAACTATGCCCCTTGCGATGGGGGTAGTTCTCTGGCCTTACGATTTTTTTTAAACTTCATATTTAAAAAAGAGACGAATCGATCAAAATCTATTAAGAGAGAACTGTTTTACTGCGCAGAGTCATTTTTTATTCGTTTATCATTTGTCTATTAGCGGCTCAGCCAGGTCGAGGGTCCGGGTGAGGAAAAAAACAAGATCCATTTCTTCGCTCTTGCGCCGGTGTTTTGTGTGTTTGAAAAATATTTTTGTGAAAAAATCCATTGGGTCATTCCTTCAGTGCCTCCTCTTCTTAGACGCGAATCCTCACTCTGCCACAAAGCCTTCTTCTTACGATCCTTCTCGAAGATCCGTTGTCTCTACACGGTTGCTCTCTCCTCGCTCGCACTTTGTACTCTCATTTATCCTCGGTCGCGCTTGGGCTCTATCCACGATGGTCCTTTCGCTCTTAACCTTCAGGGCGGGAATCAACCTTTCGCACGTTTCTCAACCTCCCTATCACGAAACCCTGTGCTCCTCACCTTCCTTCCCTAGATCTGTTCCCTCCCGCTCCAGCCTTTCTCTGCTAGCTCTTCTCTAAGATTTATTCCAATCCACACATGGCATCCGGGACACTCGGTACATAGGGAACATGCTCTGGGAACGTGAACGCGACTTTCTGGTCTTGCTCCCGTGGTTGACTTTCAAGCAGGTAATTATCCCAGTGACTCTGATTTTCTTTTTTTTTTTTTTTTCTTTTTTTCTCTTTTCCTCTCCTCCCCTCTTTCATCCAGTGTATAAGGTTTGATTATTCTTTACCTTTTACTCACTAACTTTTCTCCGTGTTCAACTCACGAGCCGCCGTTTTATCTCTCTCAAGTTATTTACTCGTCCGTAACCTGTCAGCACGCTGACCTTTACTTAATCCCTAGGAACCTGAGTGAGCATGAGGAACCAGCAACAGCCATTACAGGGACTAGGGCGTGTGAGAAACAGCGCAAAAGCCCACCAGCGTGCTCTTGTCAAGACCAGAAGGACAGTCTCACCTGGCGCACTTGAATCAGATGCTTAGTCACAATCGGGAATTCAGCGATCTGAAGCAACCCCTAAATAGAAAATGAGGATTTATGATCCAAGCGGTAAGACGTGAATAGTAATTTCAGTAATTTGAATGACTACACCAATAGAGATGTCAGAGGAGTCGAAGGCGAACAGGGGGAGGAAAAACGACCTGAACTGACTGAGGTTGTTTTTCTCCACCTCATAAGCGAAGATTTAAAGAAATCAGAGAAGCACATCGAGTGAGCAAACCCACTTAATGATCAGCTGCAAGGTGTGGACTAATGCTTAAAGGCACAAAGATTTATTACATGATGATCGTGGCACAACATGAAGACTCCCAAGAGAACAACAACTTGTCCAAAGGCAAACTCGAGATGAGGGTATAATTTCTTCTTATCACCTTACCCCAAGAACCTCCAGCTGTTCCGAGATCCTCTACAATTTAGGCTGGGACAGCAGGGTGTCTCTATGTAATGAGGAGTTTCGCAAACTTTTTCGGGCACGACCCTAAAGATAGTTTTAGCCTGGACTAGCGACCCTAAATGAGTGAACATGTAGTAAAATCCAGCCATTTTCTATCGGTTAGCTATACTTGCAGATGTATATTAGCTTACGTTATTCTATGCTCTTAAATGTTTATATTAACAACACACTGAATCTTAATAAACAAGTGTTATTAAGAAATATTAACTCTTACTGACATATCCAGCTATGGATCCTTATACTCTTCTTTTAAGACTCTCTGGCGGCCCTCAGGAAAACCCTGGTCACCCTCAATTAGGCGCGACCATTAGAGACTAGTAGGAACCACTGCTATTTAACGACAGGAAAGGATTACGCATAGCTGCTTCCTCTTCCTGAATAGCCAGCGATGAGCGCAACGAGGCATGCAAGCAGTTAACGTAATCTAAAGTCAATCACACCATCACATTACACTTAATATGACGCCCTACTGTTATAGATTGTAATCGGAACATTGAGCATTTGAATTTGATAAGATTTTGAATATGAAATCGCAATGAAATGAAAAGAAAAAACCCTGAACTGGGTTACTAAGTTACATTATGCTTGAACCTTTGCAACCCCACACCCCAGATGTTGCAAGGGCAGCAGCATGAGTTCAAGGGCCCGCAATATTAGCTCTGACAGACTATGAAATCATTTCAAATTCAAGCACATATTTTCTTAATTAATTAATGCAAGAATGGTACCTCACGAGTCCCTCCCCTCCCTTCCTCGTGTGTGTGTAACTGTGTCGTTGTGCACGGTCGGGGTATCGCCTTGTCGCACATTGCGTTGTCGCCGTGTTGCTACGTGCGTGCATACATCACACCAAGCCGGTGTGCCACGTGCATTGTGTGTGTTGTGTGTCGCTGCTGTGTGTGTGTGTGTATGATAGAGAGAGAGAGAGGAGAGGAGAAATTACTTGAATGCAGAGGCATGAACCTCTCTTCTCTCTCTCTCTCTCTCTCTATCTAATCTATCTATCTACATTCTATCTGGTTTTTTTCGGGGTCTCTTTTCTCTCTCTCTCGCTCTGGTTGTGTGCTTTGCGTGGTCTGCCTTCCTCTATCTATCTATATACACCGATCAATATATTTTGTGTTTGTGTGTTTGTGCGTGGTGTAGTCATGACCTTGATATGAAATTAATATATTCTGTTGATTCATGTCCCCGGCTTTAGGAATGAGCTGAGAGCGAGTGCCATGATTGGGGCTATTGATCCAGGATTGGTTATTCTGGACGAGGAACTAAAAATCGTGACGTGTCACTAATTGCAGAGTTCATGTCCGTTCAATGTTATATCTCTTGTAATTTGCATCTTGTAGCCCGGGCCCCCTAGAACCTCCGCCACGCAGCCGGCAGGAAGCAAAATCCGCATCGACGCGTACCTCTGTAAGTTGAAAAGGGTGTTTATTTATTTTTGATTTTAATATTTATTATATATATTTTCTTTTTTATATGCAAGTTATTTACTCACTAAAGGTGCTGGTAACAATCACAATGTACACGCTGCACTCTACCTCTACCAAGTCTCGCTCGCTTAGCATACCACATCCTTAAATCCACAGTTTCCTTCCTCTTAACCTTCCATCTTCACTACCATGCCATTCCCGCTCCTCTCGCTCCTCATCACATTTGAACATGCGTATTTTTTTTTATTAAGCCGTTATCAATTAATATTTGAAAGATGTTGTCTGTGTTGAGTGAGCCTGTAGTTTGATATCATGCTAAAAATTACAACTTTCATGTTATATTTGCCCTATGAGATGTATCTTATTTTGAATTAGATCCATTGAGTCCCTCATTTGTGATTTGGGAACCTTCTTAGACTTGATGTAGGGTATATCAGGTTCGGTTCAGGTACGCTCACATGCCAAAATCTGGTACAGTATGGCAAAGGCGCTTCCATTATAATCTAAATTGGGTATGACTGAGGCTTTCCATATGATATACCTTAGCTGTAAAATACTAATAAACAGTGAAGTAGTCAAATGTTATTGATAATTTTGATCAGTATGACAAGTCTTCGGGCTTCTAAATATGATTATAAAATTTACTTTGTGGTCTCCAGGCATTTCATTTCTCAGATCACAGTCTGCTCAGTGGATGGCCAGTGGAGCTTGTGTGAGTTGAATATTTAAAGAGATAGGTGGTTTTATTCATTGGGCATCCAGGGCTGTGTCCTTTAGTGGTTGATTTTTTATATTTTTTAAAGAGGATTTTCTGTCCTGTTGGGGTCCATAGCATTTTTTACAGTATTCTAAAGATTATTAGCGCTACTGTTACTTGGGGAAGTACCTTTTGTAATAAATAGTATTTTTGTCATGTGGCAGGTGATGGCTCATGTAATTTTTTCTTTTCTTCTTCAACAGACATCAGGTAGAACCATCAATCAGCCTCTCATATTCTGGCCAAGGAGTCAGCAGTGGTATGATTAGCTTTGGTGTTGGAGATGAAGTCACTCGTAGCAGCACACCCAATCAGTCAGAACAGGACGTTGGTCCAAGTTTGACAGTACCAAGTACAAGTGGAACCACTTGCTCAGAGGGCTCCAAACTCTGAGGAAACCTCTCAGTCCCAGGAAGCATCAAAACACAAACCTGAAAGAGGTGAACAGCCCTGCTGCTCATCAACTTCATCCTCCTTAGCATCATCATCATCCTCTTTGTATCAGCCCCAGCAAGTTAGAGCTCATACATTAACAACTTCGAGTTCTAGTCCTGCCATCTGTGATATGGAAGTGGGAGCCTCATCTAGTCAAGAAGGGAGAGATACTTTGGGTCCTGAGGTTGTGACAGCAGGATCATCAAACCGGGGGGCAGTTGCAAGTGAGATAAACCTGGGACACACTGTAGGTATGTTGCGCTAGAAAATTATTTAATTTTTTTTCTTGAATAATCAGTTTACTACACAAGCAAATGAAGTTTTAGTTGCAGTAATAGTTATTTTGATAGAAAATGCTGCTGTTTATGTGGCTATTATTCACACAGATCTTCAAAAAAAAAGTGTGAGTACCATGTTACTGCAGATTCTGTGTGAACTGCAGAAATGTAATTACCTGTATGTGTGATAAGACCTTAGACTATTTACTACTATTTACTGTTTACTGCTCCTTTGTAATTCTATATCATGCTGTGTGAATCTGGAAGTAGTCTTCATAAAGATTAGAGAAAAGAGAGATTGACAGTGAATGAATGCATGTTCTCTGCATAATTAATGCTACCTTTGGGGAAAGATAAAGAATTTAAGTCATATAATCCATTGGCCGCTGGGGTGTCACGTACGTACAAGCCATGGCTGTTGTGGACCAAACTCTGTGAGCATCATGTCATGCCCATTCCCGCACTACTGGCTCGTCGGACGGAGGTTGTTTTTCTCCAGTAGTAGCGGTTTCATTTATATGGTAAAGATTTTAGGCAATGGACACCTAAAGTGAAGGTAAACCTTCAAAATTTAAATATTTTTCATAATATTTTAGCAAAATAAACGCTTTTAGGTGCTATATGTCGCTCGCAAACTACCGATCGAGCCGGGCACAAACAGGGAAAACTGCCGGTGCGCGCCAACAAGCCGGTGCATACCTGAACTTGCCAAAAAAATTTACCCGTAACTGATGGGTTAACAATATGATAAAATAATCTACTGAAATGTATTATGGGCATTAGTATGGGATTAATATCTAAATGTTGATAAAGGAGAAAGGGTAAATTGAACCTTTCTGCTAGTATTTTTAAGAGTTTAACACTTGTCTGCAACTTCCAACAGATAAGAAATACAAAATAAGTATTTTACTTTTGGAAACTGTAAATTAAAAGCACAATTTTCCTCTGGCAGATTTTGGAGAAGATGACAGCGATGACGAGTCAGCAACTGCCAGGTAAAGTACTGTACATCCCCGCCCTGCATCCAGAAGCAGGAGGTGCTAAATATGGTGGTACTTGTAAGAGAATAAATGTAACATTTTTTTTTTATGTCAGAAACTCTCTTTTACGAAAGGCTTTCAGGAATCAAGTTTGTAATTAAAGGATGATTTGTATCTATAGGAGGGAAACAACCTAATTCCATTTTGTAAACTTTAAAAAATTCATTGTGTAGAAGCAGAAAATGTTGATTTCTCATGCAAATAAATGTTTCAAACAGAAGCACAAGTGCACGTATGGCTAGTGCAATTGAGCGTGCTGTACAACGTGTGAAAGTGAGAAGGTGAACGTGTAGGTGTAGAGAAGAGAAGTTTGGTTCCTCAGGCTTCTGTCAAGCAGTGTTATAAAGGCCATCGTAATGCAAGGTATGGTTTGACAGTTTAGACATCTTGAAGTTGTATACTCATAACTGAATAGAATGCTTCTCATAAATTTGGTGATTTTCTGCTTTTCTATTGCTATAATGGTAATATATTTTAAAGTTCTTTATTATGATTTTCTCATATGAAATCTTTTTCAGAACTATGATTAAAGAAGCTTGTTTTTGGGGAGACTCTCACGTCATGTCAGGATCTGACTGCGGGCGTGTTTTTGTGTGGGAGCGAAAGCGGGAGACTAGTAGCTTTGGGAAGCAGACTTTTGGGAATGTAGTAAATGTAGTAAATTGCCTGCAACCTCATCCAACTCTACCAGTGCTTGCCACATCAGGCATAGATTATATATGATGTGAAACTCTGGGCTCCAGTTTGTGAAGAATCTCGCTTTGATGAAGCAAAGGCTCTAGAGGTATGTTATTTACAGGGATTTTTTTCTGTATATTGCTAAAGTTGACTTTTTGTATTGGATGTATTTGATACTGCTAGCACTTAAATACTGACCAAAATAGTTTCTTGGATTTTAGGAAAAAATGAAGAATCAGACTATCAGTTATTTTACTCTTGATATTGATGTCCATTGTTAACACACTGGCACTGTATATGCATTGTTTATTGTGTATATGTGTTGTTTTGTTTACACAGATTTTTGCACAAGCAGTGTCACGAAGTAGTTAATTAAAGGCCACCATGATCTCCCCTGTTTTTCCCATTCCTTGCCTTTTTGGAAAAGAAATCCCTTAGTGTCAGTTTGTTATTATTATTGTTATTTCATTATCATCATTATAGTATGAACTTTGATGATAATAATAGAAATGAAGGTTCTTCATAAAAGCTCAAAGAATAGGGTAAACAGGTCAGATCAAGTAGACCTGGTAACAGCTCTTTGGTAATTAAGCATCTCTAGGGCCATCTATGAGTAAACAGTTAGTGAAGTTGGTGACAATGTATGTATTCATGCACTGCTGGCATCAGCTGATTAACTAAAAAAATGGGAGCAAAGGTTACTTGAGTTGGATAGATAAACACATACTGTCCATGCATATAAATAAGTCTGTATGGCAAGACTTAATGAATATTTTTGGCTATAATGTCAGGATAGCAGTATGCATTTATATAGTGTGTAGAGAATAAATGGTTTGCCTAGAATCTATTATAGGCCTTTGTTGCATTTAGTAAATACATACATTACAACATGATGCTGCTCCTAAGCACTACTTATGCCGCTTTTCATGTTTATTTATAGACAGTATTCAGTTTCAAACGTTGCGCATCGTTCAGCAATTAAGATTATTAATTACAGTGTTCTCTGTCCTCTTCTTCCCCATTACTCTAGGTCTTTTGCGATATATATTTTTTATGAAATCTCTGTTGAGTTTCTTCATAATATAATCTCCACTTCTTCAGAATGACTATCAAAGATTTATTATATCACAATTATTATGTGAACTTGTATCGATAAACCTCCTTAGCTAATCTGTCGTTTCGATTAATTGTAGCTTGATACAAGTGGTAGTGATGTGGTGTTTTTCTATGAGTGTTAATTAGTTATTATCAGAGAAAGGGTCTTTAGTTCGATGAAGATAAAGACGAATAAAATGTGTAATAGTGCCTGATATTAAAACCAAGAAGGAGATCTATTTTTGCACTTTTATTCACTGAGGCGATGTGAGCTTCTTAAATTTCCTATACAATTTATGTAGCCACCTAAATGGTTATAATCAATTCCTCCCATACATATATCCTGGTGATAAAAATTACTGCATCTGACATCACAGCTTAAACTCTTCTATCATTTCTCACTGACTATTCAATGCGAACAGCACTTTTGGTTATCATTTCTCATTTCATTATTGTTAATTATGCATGTTACATGATTGGTATTTACTATTTACTTATTTCAAATTTTTTGTGCTAGGCTCATCTAGGTCGTTATTGCTGCGCCTGTCCATTAAGGGGATCCGAAGCCTTCCTATTTTTCTGTTCTTTCTGCCGTTTTCAATCTTGATTACACAAGGCCCGAAATTTGAAGCCTTTGGTAGCCAGCGAGCACGTAGAGGACACCATCCACCTTTAAACCTGCAACTTTCCATGATAAGAATCTGGCTAGCTTCTCTCAATTCCAGAGGATTAGACCGTTTTATTCCCTTGCAGTATATGTAGTTGAACTGATTTCTTATCTTAAGATATACTTGATACGACTTTTTGCTCATGTCTCCACTAAAAGCTATTGACACCCTTAGTGTAGTCTTATAAACTTACATTTTCGTTGTCTGTAATGGCTAATCGCCACATTTTTTTAAAGTAACTATTAGATACTGCGATAAGGTAAGTTGAATAATGCCTCAATAATCCTTTTT